AAGTCTGGTTGCAGCCATTTTTCAAGTGGCAACCCTCAACTTTCTCTGGCTCTTAGGACCATTTTTCAACCGTAATTTTTAGCCCTTCTGCTCTCATATGAAAGCTCAAAGACCCAGGGAGTTGATCCCGGCAACGATTTACACAATTTCATCATTTTGGGGGCCAAACAATCTCCTTTTTTAAAAGATACTGTGGGGGCACTTTTAATGCTAATGAGCTGGCCAGAAATTCTCACTTGAATTAGTGGTCTGCACCCCCAACAGTGGTCGTCTGAACTGCAGTGGAATCGGGGCCTAGTTGAGGAGGTACACTGACGGACCCCTATCTCTCATTCCGACCTCTGAAATCACTTGGTACCATCCCATTTCGGGTTTCAATTTTAAACTGCACGTTAGGAAATAGGAATACGACTGAAATTGGGGACGCCGCAAGACAGCCTGAAGACAGCCTGAAGACAGCCCGCAATTCGGTTAAATCAATAACAATCCATGCATTAAAGGGAGGCAGTAATTTTCCACTATTCGGTAGGGCCTACTCTGTTCCAAGATAAACTGAAGAGAATGCTTGAATTTCTTCCATAAATATCATTTTTTTCATGATGAAATTGGGAAAATGACACTCATTGAAGGGAAAGGTGTTATAGTCAATCTGATTTCATCGCTTATAAATCAGTTTCCTTTTTTTCAAGTTGGGAGACATACATGTACTCTACGCCATTCACAATCTAAGATATTCAACAGATAATATTATTCCATTGTTGTGACTTGATTTGAGAAAAGGTTTACCAGAAATGTAATCAGTACATTTTTTTATTTTTATTATTCCAACGGCTTCAGCCAAGACCCTCATTATTTTCAGCAAGCCTAGGGCAGCATACAATGGCTATTTCTGTGTCAAAACGCGTCAAGATGTTCCGTTTTCAGCATTGTAATGATATTCACATTTTAGACAACTTATATTGCATATTACTTCAGACAAAAATGTACCCTACATGTTGAAAAGTATTGGCAGACCACTAGCCACACTTAATTTCAGTAAAGGCTTTATGGAATTCCTTTTTCTGTGTCAAAACGCAAATCCTGTGTTTAGGATACAAAAATTTCATTTGCCACAATTTGTAATAACACCAGTATTAATTCAGACGAAAATGTACCCTGCAAGTTAACTTATATTTTCATTTTCGTTGCATGACTGGAATTGTGATACCACTAGCCACACATTTAAAGGGCACGTATAGGGTACACGTGCACAAAGAGCAATATTTTTATCTTTTTAGCATATACACAAATGCACATTTTAGACAATTTAAAATTGCGTCTCACATTCAGACAAAAATACGTGTTTTAAATATTGTTACTTTCTTTGTATGAGTCAAATTGGTAGACCCCTATACCACACTTAATTTTGTGTCAAAACGCCTCTCAAAGATATCCCGTTTACAGGAATGGTCATTTTGCCACTATTTGTAATTGCGTGTACTTTAGACGAAAATGTACAGTACATGTTAAGAAATATTTTCATTTTCTTTGCATGATTCAAATTGGAATACACTCAATTTCAGTTAGGGTTGTATGGAAAGCCTATTTTGTGTCAAAACGGTTCTCGAAGATATCCTGTTGTTAGCATACAAGAATGCGCATTTTAGACAATATATAATTCCGTATTACTTCAGACGAAATTGTACCCTACATGTTAAGAAATATTTTCTATTTTTTCCATGACAAGAATTGTCAGACTAGCTGTCACACTTAATTTCAGTAAGGGCTAGGTACTATATGGAATTCATATTTCTTTGCCACAATTTGTCATTGCGTACACATGTATTAATTCAGACGAAAATGTACCCTACATGTATGTACACTTAAATTTATATTTTCATTTCCGTTGCATACATGTAACTTGAATTGTGATATATACCACTGGCCACACTGCATGTACCCTAACTTATAGGTACACGTGCAGAAAGAGCAATATTTTTACCTTAAATTCACATAATCATTTACATTTGATGAAGCTCCATTACTCCCGTGCATGAATCTC